AAAAAAAAAAAAAAAAAAAAAAAAAAAAAAAAAAAAAAAAAAAAAAAAAGCCAAACGTGTGCGGCCATGTGAAGCTGATTTGAAATAGATTTATTCCCACCGTCAAAACAACTTTAAGAGAGAGAAAAGGCTCTTATGAACTCATTTCTTGTCTACTTGTATTTGTTCCTTCTCTATGGAAGGAGTGGATTTGATTGAGAGTAAAAAGATAATGGAAATCGACCCCACCCCGAAAATGCGTGATAAGATATAATAACATAAATGTTAAAAACGAAATAAAAGCAAACAAAAGTTGACATGACATACCTTGACATTTTCCCCGATGCGAGCATTTTTGTCAATGATAGCTCTCTTGATGTGGGAATTTCTGCCAATGCCAATTGGTACACTACCCTTTGCCGCCAATAACCTACGGTCGGCGTCCGTCTGAGGAGCACCACCAAGGAAAACTACAAATCAGTTTATGCTCTAACCACCCCTCAATTTATCTCCTCAACAAAGTGCAAAACAGTTAGAAATTATATTAATATTGCCCACTTTGAACATAAATTCTCGTAATTTTATTAGAGTGTGGCTCTATATTTTAAGATAATAGTTTTACATGAGTTTCAAATGGTAGCATTAACCATTAAAGGTAGTTTTTCAACATTTTCATGATGTTTAAGTATCTAAAAGTACTTTAAAGAGAGGTAAAAGCTATCTGAAACTCATGATAAACAAGGTTATTATTGAATACAGACCTCATAATAATCTGCACCCATCAATAACGTGTCTTCTATGATTGCACCTTCGGATATGCAAGATCGGAGGCCAACGACAGAATGATGAATCTTGCAGTTCTGAGGAGAAAATAAAAAAGGGGTTATTCCAACTATGGAAAGGGGAAGGAATAATGCAGTTAAGACGAGGTAATAACACCATCTTAGCATAGCAAAGAGCTTCGTAAAGAAGTTACCTTTATGACACAGCCCTCACCAATAACACTGTCAGTGATATCAGCATCGAGCATTTTCGATGGCGGCAAGTAGCGAGGTTGGGTGTAGATTGGAGACGAACGATCATAGAAGCTGCAATTGGGTGTTTCGTGTATCAAATAAACACATGATAACTTAACAATTCATTAATAACTTAATCAAATGTTACCTAAAATCTGGTACTGGCTTCTTTGTGATCCCCAGATTTGCGTTGTAAAAGGCTTCAATGGTACCAATATCTTCCCAGTAGCCATCGTACAAGTAAGCTTGCACCTACAAAGTCAAATCAATATCTTTATTATAGAGATCGCAGCCCTTACGAGCTCTGGTGCCATCGTTCTCCAGCAAACCAAGAGTAATCAAGATCAGCACTCATTCAACTACTACTTTGCCTTTTTTTCTTTTAATTTCTTTTTTTTTTAATCGAAGCAGAAAATATTTGTAACAGATCAGCTCAAGCCCACCACTAGCACATAATGTCCTCTTTAGGTTTTCTCTTTTGGGGCTTTCCCTTAAGATTATTAAATGAGTCTACTAGTGAAAGGTTTTCACACCCTTATAAAGAATGTTTCGTTCTCCTCCCCAACAGATGTAAGATCTTACACATGTAGTGGCTAGAGTTTGTATCAGACAACTCGATTGTCAAGGCCATCGTTGTTTGGTACTTTCCACTAACGAATTCTATGATATATTTGGACAATACTTTCATCAATATTGATATGACATATATTTATGGTGCATAAGATCATTATATCCATACCCTCATTCCAATGGAAGTTGCACCAGGAATAACTTCACTCCCAAAATCATTTGCTCCGGGAAATTTTTCTCTTAGAAGATTCAGCATCACATCCTTACTGATAACGTAAATACCCATGCTGGCTATGAAAGGCATCTCTTTCGCTCTCTCATCATCAAGACCCAAAATAGTAGTATCAACCTGTAAGAAAGAAAACAGGATTTTTTTTTCTGCTTTAGACTAACCCATCTAACAAGAACATCTTATGAAGCAAGACATAGGAGAACAGTTTATTATGATAAAAAGTATTGGAGTTTGGATTCACCTGCATTGCTTTCAATTGGTCTCCTTTCGGTTTCTCTGCAAACTCAATTATCCGTCCCTCTTCATCAATTTTCATCAGACCAAATGCAGTAGCACGGCTTTCATCCATGGGAAGTGCAGCTACAGTGATATCTGCATCAGTCTCCCTGTGTGCTTGAATAAATCTCTCGTAGTCCATTCGGTACAAATGATCGCCAGCAAGAACTAGATACTCCAAAACATTGTGTTCTTCAAATAGCCATAAATACTGCCTAACCGCATCAGCTGTTCCCTGCAGGTTTCAATTCCAAACATTTATGAGATAAGACGGAGTATATCAGATCAAGACAAACTTAAAGAAAATGCATTAGGAAATTGGAAGTATTAAGACAGAGTATATCACAAGATCAATGTTCTGAACAAAATGGTAGGTTTCAGTGATTCCAATTTTCGCGTGAATTATGAAAGAATAAACCTAATCTTGATTCCATCACCTGGAACCAATTTGGATTCTCCGGACTCTGCTGAGCCGCAAGAACCTCAACGAATCCTTCATTCTTGTAACCGCCCATGTTACTCGCATAAGCTCGGGAAAGATGACGATTAAGAGACGCAGAATTGAATTGCGTTAGGACATAAATCTTGGAAATGTTGCTGTTGAGACAATTGCTAACAGGAATGTCAATCAGCCTGTAGTTTGCTCCAAGAGGAACAGCAGGCTTCGCCCGCTTCTTAGTGAGCGGATAGAGCCGCGTTCCAGCACCACCTCCCAGAATAATCCCAAGCACACTCTAACCACAAAAAAAAAACAGATAACAGACGCCATTAAATCACCATCCATTCTAGAAACAAATCGCAGCGGCTCAATACAGGAAATCAAACGAAATAAACTCCGCGAACGCATCAAGTACAACAGGCTCTAAAACTATTCGATTCCAATCAATTAACGCATTCAGAGAACAACACAAAGAAACAAGAATACCAACCCGGCTAGCATCGGGATCGAGGCAAGTCTGAGAGTTCTTGGAATCAGAAACCGCTTTCGGAGAGACGATCAAAGGTGCCGCTCTACCACCAGAAAAACGTCGTGATCCCAAAGCAGAAGCTCTAAAATCAATCTTGTCACCAGAAATGAGAGACGCACCGAACGAGAGGCTTCGAACGCTGCTTCCCCTTACACGGTTAGAACCGCCGTTCGACGACGAAGACCCCGACGTCGTCGAAACTCTGAGAACTCCACCTGCAGCAATAGAAGACGCCATTGGACGATCAATCCGAATTCACAAAGCTAAATCCGGTTTCTTCACCGATCAGACAGTGGCCGGGAAAAACGAAAATACTAGAGATTAGCTCGCAGCTCAACTGCCGAATGAGGGAACCGATTTGCCACTGATATTTGATGTGGTCTCAGTGTCGATTTTACCCTTCATATTTTCACTTTATTACGTCGTTACCCTCGGTTTTGTAGACGCAGAACGTGGTCCTGATAGGGGCAATATGGGGAAAAAGAAAGTTCGAGCGGTTCCCCAATAAAATTAAAGGAAATTAATATTATTTCTAATTTTATGAGATTTGAGTGGACGTGGATTCACGGATCTATCCATAAGTCACATGGACTCTTCCTTTTTTAGATTTTTTGGGAACGGTTTCATTCTAATATTTTCTATATTTTTTTTAATTTAATTAAATTAAATAATAACATTCCTAGCTCTAACCCGATACATTTTTCCGACCCAACCCAATTATTTAAATTTTTATAATTCAAACAACACTTATTCAACCATAAATTATTAGGTTGAGAATTGAACCTAATTATTCTACTCGGTACCCTTTATTAAATAATGAACATTGAGGATCTGACTAAAGTATTCGACTCGAGTAATTCTTATTAAATAATGAACCCAATTAAACCATAAATTATCAGGTGGAGGTCTGAATCAAACTATTCGAGTAATCAACCATAAATGGTTAGATTGAGTTTTAAATTTTTATTTAAAATAAAAATAAAATGTAAATATGTAATATTTAAAATATAATCCAATTGAGTTATTATTATTATTAATCCAACCGATATAAAATTATTAAAAAAAATGGCCCCAATTCAACAAAACTAAAAAGGAAATGTAATATTAAAGCAAAATAAATAATTCGAAAATACATTTTAAGATGAAAATTGAAGCACAATAAATTATTCCACACACATTCTGAAGGTACAGTGCACCTCATAAATTAATAAACATTATATTAAATTATGGATTAAATCAGCACCGTCAATTTCCTTTTCTTCGTATTTAATTATTATTTTTTTCCTTAAATTCGAAAACATAGATCAGGTTTCCAGTTTAGGTGGGCCCAAGGATCAGGAGCGCCGTTGAACTTGAAGTGATGACCATATCGTTTCCGTACACTGGCCCACACCTGATTATTTCCCGCTACCTTCCAAATATTTGGTTTGTACCTTTTTACCAATCTCGAGGAGGCTTATTTTACATGCTTCAAAAAACTCAAGTGTACGCATTCATATCTTAATTAATTAAAAGTTAAATTACTATTATTTAGTTTAAATTTTTAAATATTTTTCTCTCAGTCTAATGATTTGAAAATTAATTTAATTTTAATTTTTTAAATGCAATTTTTACCGACAAATTTGGCTTTGACACGACCCATGAAATTTCTTCCCGAAAAATATCACCAAAATCGTCATGGCTCAATCAGGTATAAGTCGTAGGAAGACATGATTCAAAGATGAGCCAGTCAATAGGGAATGACTTTTTCTTTCTGGCTTCGCTCATTCACCTATCGGTCTCCATTGCTCGAACCTATTTATTCTTTCTCCCGAACTTATCGGTGTCCCTGTTTCAAATGGATTAGAAACATACAAATGTCAATAAAATCTAAACATTAGTTATTGTTGTTTTCCCTCACTGTATCAATCATTATTATAAAAGACGAAGGTCGAACATGAGCCAAACAATCCAAAAGAGCGAAAAGAGGACTCAAGCTAAAGTCATCGTTTACAAGTCGAGGTGTCGCGCTAAAATAAAGAAACTAAGCCAACCAACCGAATTAAATCGTGGACCTGTTTGAATCGACTTTCCTTAGCTTTCTACTAGATTGCCATTACCACAATAGGGCTTCTTACATGGTGCTTACCGTCAGACCATATCAAATCACCATATACATAATTCTTCTCCCTTCCTACATTCCCTTCCTTGACTTTCATGAGAACTTTGAAGCTCAGCTCTTCACCTAATCTTGTGAAGCTCAACTTCTTTGGCTTAACCGAAACTGATATCCCAGCCGGTCTTCTTATCTCGGCTTTGTACGTTCCGGGAGAACCGACGTTCTTTAGTCTTCGAGTAATTGTGATCGATCTCGAGAGGTTAGGGACAGTGATTGAAGGATAGTTGAGATTTGTAAGACTAATAGGCTCCGAGCAATTGAAGGGGCCATTGGAGAACTGTGATAGTTGAGCTTTGTTGTATCCTAAGGCACATAGAAATGACAGATATTCAGTAATGGTTATGTCATAGACCAAGCCAGGATCTGTAGCTTTATTTGGATGGATGTGTCCTGCTCCATAGTTGAATGGCGTGGCCACGGAGTAGGACGCGTTGAGGAGCGGCTTGAAGTTGTTGTCTAAGGTGCTTGCTGCAAAAAATAGAAACTAATAAGAACGACGCCTGACTTGTCCGTTTAGTTTCCATTTGGTCCTTGAATTTTCAAAATATTATATTTTACCCTCAGCTCGTGAGCTTAGATTTCATATGATCCTAAATTTCAAGATTTTACATTTTGTTCGTGAGTTTTCACCAATGCTCACTTTTAATCAAAGTTAACATTAATGACCAAAAACGAGAATTAGTACAAACTTGTAGTAAAAGTGTCAATCTAGAAACTTAGGGCAGTGTTCGTGAGTTTCACCAATGCTCACTTTTAATCAAAGCTAACACCAATGACGAAAAACGAGAATTAGTACAAACTTCGAGTTAAAAGTGTTAAATCTAGAAACTTTGGACCCAAATGGAAACTAAACTCAAAACTCAAAACTCACGGATAAAAAAGATGCAATAATTTGAAACCTATGACCAAACGGAAACTAAACTAAAAAATTATGGTAAAAATGTAACTTTTTGAAACGTTAGGACCAAATGGAAACTAAACTCAAAGTAACGAATAAAGAACAATATTGAAAATATAGTCGAAACGTAAGGACTAATTATTTGTTTTCAAAGATTTGTGGCAAAGAAAATACCGAGGGCGTTGAATTGTTTTACCCGTGGTCATGATTGCAGATTTAATAGCGGCAGGACTCCAGTGAGGGTAAAGAGTTCTAAGGAGACCAGCTATACCAGAAACATGAGGGCATGACATGGAAGTTCCTGATACCGAGTTAAAAGCAACCCGACGCTTATCATATTCTTGATTGGTAGGTCCTTCTGCTTCAGTATAAGCAGCTATAACACTCAGCCCCGGTGCTGTAACATCAGGCTGCACACACAAAAATCACCCAACAATCATTATAGCAAGCTCCGTTTGATATCCATTTGACTTAAAAAATTAAGTTTATAAACAATAAGTTTCTATTTGGATGAATACCATTATAAAGAAGTGTGAGAAACCAGACATATTTTATGAACTAAATGAGTATCAAATGGAGCCTAAAAGACAACCTTTAAGATCTCTGGAGTAATAGTGCTTGGTCCAACTGATGAAAATGCTGCCATAAATGGAGCTGGCCTTGTACCTAATTGAGTTGTAGCTCCTGTGATGTAAGCCTGAGGGAACCTGTTCACAATTTAAAGGTTTCAAGGTGATGTGCACGATAGACCATGAGCAGGGTGTCACGGTCATGTTTGTTCAGGGTGTGTGTGGCCGCATGTCCATGTCATGCCGAACCCTTTACTTCATTTCATGTTATATTGTCTTACTATTATATTTCCAATTTGTACAACTACTCGGCAAAATCATGTCTAGACCTGCTAAACTTGAATCGCGTAAGAATTTGTACTATAGGGAGGGTGTAACTAGTAATCAACTCCTCCCCTGATTTTTGTATGACCGTTCAGCGGAACCACGTCTAGGCCTGCCAGATCTAAATCGCCTCAAAATGTATTATAAGGTGATGCGACTAGTTGTCAAATTCTCTCAATCCAAAAAGTTACATGTTATTTAAGTCGTTGTGTTACCTTTTGCTTATAGCTATATAACGTTGCTTTTAAAATCATCTCTCTTTCTTACTTTCAAACTCGCTTTCAAAAATCTTTCTATCCCCGTTTTCTAAAACCTTGTTCTCTAATGGGGCCAAAGGCTCGAGCATACATTACCCGGCCGTAGGCGACACGAATACAAATTGGTTTGACTCACTAGGTGTTGGGAGTGAGTGCTGCACAATCGCAAAGTCCGTTGTCAAAAAAAGTGCAATTGTGACACAGGACAGCCATACGGCCCAAACAACTCAAATGTTGTTTGCTGTTGTGCTTAATTTAGGACCGGTTTGGATTGACATTCCAAATGTTTGAAAATGTTTTTAAGCATTTAGAAAGTTAATCTAAACATGCTTGTTACTGTTATAGAAGCAACTTACTTGGTTGAATTGATGTATGCAAAAACTGCAACGCCATCAGTGAAGTTGATGTGCGAGGCTGGAAGAACATGTGGGTCCGCAAGGATTTCATTCCCACTGAGCTCATTGTTGGCGAGAATCATACCCACAGCTCCAGCCAACATTGCTTGCTCGCCCTTGTCCACTCTTGCATTATCACCACGAAGGCAGACGAGGATCTTTCCCTTCGCCTTCTTAGGATCAAGCGTACCAGCTTTACACAATTGACTGAAATGTTCAAGAAATCAGAGCCAATTACTATGAACACTTAGAAATTCAATCTAAAAAGACCCTAAACACAATAATTCTAAGGTAATTTCAATAGCTAAGACAGCAGAAAATTATTGTTCCATGTTCTTACGCTTCATGAGCTGATGCATTGGCCAATCTAACATCTGCAGCACTCATGAGTGGATAGAACTTCCTGCTTGGCAAACCTTCAGGGGTTAGGCTTTCGCCCTACAAAAGATTGCGTTCTTCGTTAGGCAAATTGCACCATTGATAAAACTTTCAAGTTTGTATCAAGTAGATCCTAAACTTTCGATTTTATGAAAGTCCTTATATTGTTAAGGATTGTTGGGAGGGAGTCCCACATTGGCTAATCAAGGAGAATGATCGTGAATTTATAAGTAAGGAATACTATCCAAGGCCTTTTGGGGAAACCCAAAGCAAAGTCATGCGAGCTTATACTCAAAGTGGACAACATCATACCATTGTGGAGAGTCGTGATTTCTAACATGGTATTAGAATCATGCCCTTAACTTAGCTATGTCAACAGAATCCTCAAATGTCGAATAGAGAAGTTGGGACCCTCGAAGGTCTAGTAAAAAGTGACTCAAGTGTCAAACAAAGAGTGTATTTGTTTAAGGGCTCCAGAGAAAGGAGTCGAGTCTCAATTAAGGGGAGGTTGTTCGAAGGCTCCATAGATCTCAGGGGAGGCTCTATGGTGTACTTTGTTCGATGGGAGGATTGTTGGGAGGGAGTCCCACGTTGGCTAATCAAGGGGATAATCATGAGTTTATAAGTAAGGAATACATCTCCGTGGTATGAGTCATTTTGGGGAAACCAAAACCAAAGTCACGAGAGGTTATGCTCAAAGTAGACAACATCATACCATTGTAGAGACTTCTTATAATCGATCATTGGCTTCTTTGACAACTTTTGAAGTTCATGAAATTGAAAGTTTAACGATTGGTTAGGTATAAAATTCAAGTTTATGCACAAAAGATTTTGTAATTTAACCTATGTTTCAAATCTGTTGTGGTTTGAAATTCCTTTCATAGCATAAATGTTGCATCAAACTTCATTTCCTCTCTACATAATTTCAAGAACAAGTTGCACTAACCTCAATTTGCTTCTTGTTCCCAAGAACGACACGACTAGGGAACTTCCTGTCCATGGTGCTGGCTCCGACGGTGATCTGCCAGGGCGCAATATTCGTCACGGAACCGGCTGTCGGTCCCGAATTTCCGGCAGAGCAAATCACCACAATCCCGTGCCTCACGGCGTGGAATGATCCAATTGCAACACTATCGTTAAACAACGGATTCGGATCTCCTCCAAGCGACACCGACAACACGTCGACGCCGTCGTGGATCGCCACATCAAACGCCGCCAATATATCGGCATCGAAGCACTCATTCCCAGCCGCTGGAGGCCAGCAGACCTTGTAAGCGGCCACCCGAGCCCTAGGCGATCCGCCCTTGGCAATGCCCTTTCCCAAGCCGAAAACACTAGCTCCGGCGACGAAGTTACCGCCCGCCGTCGATAAGGTATGAGAACCATGCCCTTCATTATCCCTCGGCGAATTGAACGAAGAATTTAGATGACCGACAACGGATTTGTAGCCTTTGTTGAAGTATCTTGCTCCGATTAGTTTCCTTGAGATTAAATTACCACCAAATTTACAGAAATTTCAGATAATATCGTGCATGCTCATAAACCCATGAACATGCAACACTGGCCAAAACAGACAATATCACTACGAACAGTGCTTAAGTGATTAAATGATATCAAAATTAGATATTGAATAGTGTGTCAATGAGAACGTTTGACCCGTTTCAAAATCGGGATGGATTAATTTTTTTGAAAATTAAAAAACTCGAGCGAATTTAAATTTTTTTGGTCGAGTTTGTTCGCTACCCGACCCTACCCTAATTTTATATGTAAATCAATATTTTAGATGGGAAATAAATATTATATATATATATATATATAGATAAAAAGTGAAAAGGGAAGAGAGAGTAAAAAATAAAAATATTATTCTTATGGACATAATTGAAAAGAAGATATACGCAACATATATCTTTTTTAAAGTCGATTTGAATATTCCCAACTTCGTCTCGGTATTGGTAGGTCCTACTTAAACTAATTCTAGACAAATTTTTACTCCGCTATTTAAATTAAAATATAAAAGCTAAGATATTAATATATGAACGTCGCTCGGGACGTAGGTCGGAATCTCTACTCCGCTATTTAAATTAAAAATAAAAAAAATGAAGAGAGGGAAAGAGAAAGTACCTATTGCAATGGAAAGAAGGATCATTTTGGTTTTGGCATATTCCTCTCCACCTTTGGGGAATTGGTCCCAAATCATCGTAATCACTAAAGCTTTTTGATTCCGGCCATACCCCTGTTGAAATTCCAGGCTCAAAATGACCAAAATACCCCTCACGAGTCTAAATATAAATAAATTATTATTATTCGTTTTAAAATTTATTTTATTTTAGTCTCTATATTTTTTAACACTCTTAAAATTATTTTATAAATCTATCGTTTTAAGGTTTTTGACATCATCAACTATCACTAGAGATTATCGACTTGAGGTTACTATCGTCATTTTGACTAATTGAAGTCTTTCGCTTTACTTTTGCCCAATTTTCTGTTCGTTGGAATCTACATTCTCTTACTTTTCTTCCTCCATTGCATTCTACGTTTTTATTTTCTTTCTACTCTTATTCTATCTTTCATACTCGTTATCGAGCTCCTTCAAATTTCAAGTGTATTTTATTAATTTAATTTATTTAAAATATAAAATAATTTGTTTATTTATAAATTAATTAAAAATGGTTTAAAAAAATCAACCATGGGGGTTGGAGATAAGAGAGTCAAACAGACTGAACGCAGATCCATGAAAATATATTTTTAGTTTTCCAAAAAAAATAAAAATTAAACTAATCAAAACTACGTCGTTTTGATTGATCTAAAACCCTTCTTATCTCTATATTAAAAATCAGATCTTGTTTTTATTCATTAAAAAAAAAAAGTCAAGGGCTTGAAAAAATATTATTCAAATCAAAATTAATTATTTAATAAATAAATAAATAATTAATTAATTAAAGAAGAGAGAGAAAGTTAGAGAGAGAAAACGAACCAGTATCAAGGTTTCCAATAATGGTGTCTTCTCCAAACCTTGCCTTCTTCCATATTGATTCTGAACTTATAACTCCATGATTGTTCTCCAATTCCATGAACTCCCATGATCTTGTCGTGTGTAACCGTCTTCCTCGGTTCGGAAAAACCGACACTACTTCTGGGTGCTCTGGGTTTTATACACATAAAATGTTAAATCACCAATCAACTCAAAACGTGATCGATGTTAATTTTAAAAAAATCGATATTATAATTAAAAATTTTCTATTAAATATTCGAATTTGAGATATTAACGATGAACGAAAAGAGAAAGAATAGCTACTTGCTAATCGAGCAGCTACTTCGTCTTCCAACATTGCTGCAAAGCCATTGATATGTCTAGTGTACGAGTAAAAGATGACATCTTCGGCAAATTCATTTCCACTGAAAAGATAATAAATCAACCGTTAAATAATCGATTTCGACACGATCAAAAGTTCGAACATTATTATTTGGCTAATGGGTAATGATAAAGTCGATTTTTTTTTAAACGTACCTCTCGAGATATGGTCGGAGGAGTTCTCGGTGAGAATCGGCGACAATATCAGCCGGTTTCCGACCGCCGTGGGAATGAGCTCCCATGTAGACAACATAGGACTGCAAATGGGGTGAAAATTTGAGAGAGAAAATGAGAGAAAAGCAAAGAAAATGAACTAACCCTTTTAATGGCGGCGGTGGGAGTGAGCAGCAAAGAAGAGAGAAGAAGAAGAAGGAAAGTAGTTGAAGGATATGTCGGTTGTTTCATGGTTTCTTCTTGTGTCTGGTCTCTGTTTTTTCTCCCCTTGGCTTTAATTATATGTCTTCCTCCCATGGAATAGAAGATACTTCTACACTTAAAAAATTAGGTTAAAATATAATATACGTTTGTGTTCACACTCGGGGAGTAGGTAAGTTAACTGTGTGCAATATGGTGACAAAGACATGTTAACTGATCTAACTTCAAGAAAACAAGGTAATATAGAACGTTCAGAAACGCGTTCGTTGACAAAATCGTCGTAGGAATGGAGATATTTCTCCCAAGCGGAGGTGAACTGATCAGGTTTTTAGATCAGTGCGAAAGTGAACCGGCCGCTGGAGGATCAAAAAGGTAATATTTGGGCTATTACACGAGGTGAATTGGTCAACAAGCATAGACTCTTAGACTGCTATGGAAGCGAGCTCATCAGTGGAGGATTAGAAAGGTAGGTCGGTCGAATGAGGGAGAGCCACGCTGGAATGGGGATATTTCTCCTTAGTGGAGGTGAATTGATCAATGAACACAGGTTTTTAGACTTGTGCAAAAGCGAGCTGGTCGCTGGAGGATCAGAAAGGTAATATTTTTCCCGAACGGAGGCAAATTGGTCAACGGGCATAGACTCTTAAACTGCTATAGAAGCGAGCCAGTCAGTGGAGAATCAGAAAGGTAGGCCGTTTGAATGAAGGGAGAGTCGCCGCTGGAATGGGGATATTTCTCCTAAGTGGAGGTGAACTGAACAATGAACACAAGTCTTTATACCGCTGCAAAAGCGAGCTAACCGCTGGAGGATAAAAAAGGTAATATTTTTCCAGAACAGAGGCAAACTAGTCAACGAGCATAGACTTTTAGACTGCTACGAAAGCGAGCCATTCAGTAGAGGATTAAAAAGGTAGGCGGGTCGAATGAGGGAGATCCAAGTTAGAGTCTCGATAAAAGACAATTTTAAAAATGATAGACTATTTTTTGAGCTCACAGTGGAAAGACGAACCATCGTCCTTTGAGATGATAATTAATGTTTTATTTAATTTGTATACACTAAATTAATTATATCCATAGAAAATATCCTTTAGATTTTTATGGATTTTTATGAAGGGATTTTATTAATATATATAAATTTTAAAAAAAAACTTTTATTAATTATTCCATTATACATTATCCACTCCATTTTATATATTTGTGGCACATCAATATAATATAAGATATTAATTAATATTATTGAATTAAATGACAATATATATATTTTTTTAATTTTTATTTGGAATTATCAGCCAAAATTGTAATTAAAAAAATGAGTGCATAAATAGTTTTTTTTTTTTTTTTTTTTTTTTTTC